GCGTACGCCATTTCCGCCTTTTGGCCGTACGTTCAATTTTAGTATGGTTTCCATGCAATCCCTTATAAATGAGACCCCAGAGCAGTTGCGTCAGGGGTTCCTGTTTTCTTCAGAGTGCCAAAGCTGCACACAGAGCTGCACCTTCACACACAAGCAGACCAGTAACTCTGTTCTTTGTTCAGTTTTAGTCGTGTCGTTACGTTGGTCACCCCAGGTGCTCGACACCAGTTTTAAACATAAAAACACAGGTTTGACAGACACTGAGAAAAGTGCAACAAAAGGTGCCTTCTGTGCATCTTATCTCACAAACCTTTGTTAACAACAACGCTGATGAGGRCGTGTCATCAGAGCCTTCAGAATCTCTTTAAAGTCGATCTATAGAAAGAGTTAAACTTATGATRAAACACGTAAAAACAATTCTGATACTGAGTCTGATCATCTTTATCCAGAAACAACAAATACAAACGTCCTCAGATTTGTCATGGAGTCATTGAGAAGTTTATTTTTGCTTTGTTTTAGTAAATAATTTGTCAGTTAGTTAGTTAGTTTCTGTGGGAATTCCCCAGATCACGTTCCGCTTCTCTCCTCTCCCCAGGACAAAGAGAGCATGATTCAGGTCCTCCGAGCCGTGGACAAGGCCAACGGCTACTGCTTCYGAGACGGGGAGGAGAGAAATCTGCAGGCGATGATGTCAGCCGCCGTGGGGGCCGACTTCCAGTTCAGCTCGTATCCTTACTGAGCTCGGAGGTGACTCATCTGGGTCCGGCTCAGAACCCAACAAAACCCTGATTGTTACAGAGCCTTTAATGTGACGTGATTGGCAGGTTGATTAGTTATAAATAACTCATTTGTTGCTGTGTAATTAGAAAGTTTATTCAGGCCCCCCCTTTTTGTGTTGACCTTAACATTTTACCCTCTTAGGACTCTCGGGGTGCAGGAGAGGTATGTTGAAGCTGGGGTGAAGACTTTGGAGGAGGAAATGATGGACCTGTAAGATGAAAGACACCAGKGTTCCTGTTCTGACCCGGTTGTCCAGAATTTATAGCCTCGCCTGCAGAAAGAGCTGGAAGGACAGGAGCAGAGTGTGAGATTGTCTCAGAGGAACAACGATGAGCAAGTCTGTCAACTATTAACGTGTGTGTTTTTATACTGCAAGAAATGTAAATAATGCCAGTGCTTATTTTTTTTCAAAATAAATTTTAAAAAGTGGCCATTTTTTAATTTTTGTATAGACTGAATATGAATTAATTGCTGATTTTGAACTAAATGTCATTCAGAAGTTGTTCAACATTTGAGTGTTGAAGCTCTCTTGTCCTCTTATCCATTCTGTAGCTTTTCTTTCTTATAGTTCTGAGTTTGTTACATCTCACGTCTTTATAGGGGAAAAAAATGAAAATATACATTTAAAACATGGGCCTTAACTTCATTAGAAGTGCGTCACACAACAGAAAAAAAAGTCAATAAAAAAGTGGGATTTTAGCTAGCTGAAGGAGAGCTCTGTAGTTCAGCTAATTTGTCATCAGTGCATGTTCCCATACAGTGACGAAATTTGTGCTCTGCATTTGGCCCATCACACATGGGAAACAGCCAAGTGGAGTGTCGGGCAGCTGTGGGAGTAGCTGGGGGTTCGGTGTTTTGCTCAAGGACACCATGACGTGAGCATGGAGGGGATACAAACCTGTGACTGGCTGCTCCGTTACACCCAGTCCAAATGTTTGGAGTTTACTAAACGAGTGGCATTTTGATATTTTTATTAGTTTTTGCACAATTCCAGTTTAAAGTTTTAGGATTTTACAATAGTGATGATGTCACACTACACTTCTTTTGAATAATCTTTATTTAACCAGACAATTCTCATTGAAATCACAGACGTTTTATTTTTGAGAGGATGTCTGGGCCTGAAGGCAGCCTAAACATGCACGTTTAGAGGAAACATTTATGTTTGAACTCCTGGTTCAAATGTCAAAATTTGGGCATTTTTGTCATCAAGTTCGTCTCACTGCTGGAGGTACGTTTTTCCTCCAATCCTCAGAGTCTGYACTTGTTTTAACACAGTGACTGTTGGTTTAAAGCTATTTACTGTTTCTGCCTTAAGTCTACTGTCAGGGAGTGAGACACAGGTTATGTCAGTTTTTTACTCTTCATCCAGTTTGTACATTGAAACCTTGGCATTTAGGCATCTTATTACAAAAAAGTCTCAAACTTTATTGTGAAATTTGTTTTCTATATATTTTAAAAAATGTCAGCAGCTGCATTGTCAACATTTTATTTATTTACAACAATAAAGAAATGACTAATTTGCTAAGTTTTAATGAAAACGGCAGAAAACTGATTCTTGTGAGAAACGGGTGAGGAGGGTGCTGCAGCACCTTCTATTGGATACTAGAGGACATACATGAAAAAAAATGCATAAAAAACTGAATTAGAGTTGCACATATTTAAAACTTAATATTTAAATATTAAGTTTTATAAATGTAATTTAAACATATTGTCTAGTTTTGTGCAAAATTTATCTACTTAAATTCCACAGAAAATTAAATTAATTTTAGGTTAAGATTGCAATTTTATAAAGTGCAGAATGTGCAGCACATTTATCACCAATGGCAGAAAGCAAAAAAAAAAAAAAATCAGTGGTGTATTCTGCCTGTGTCTGTAGTGTTAGCAAAATATCTTCTGAATGGATTTTAATGGAAAAGTAATCTCTGGATGTACAACTGATTCACTTTTCAAGACAACAGATCTTACTGAACATGAAACGGGTCAGAACAGCCAATTTTCCAGACATCGGGCTAAAATTTGGTGTGGTAGTAGCCGAGAGTCATCTCAAACACATCGTAACTTTAAAAATAAATAAAAAATAAGATGTTTCAGACTCACAGCTCCCCCTAAATCAGGGGTCTGCAACCRTTACGATCAAATGAGCCATTTCTGCTCCATGGCTCACTAATAAAATGTGTCCAGAGCCTCAAAACAAGGTATAACTGTGATTATCAACTGGTGGTCCGTGGGCCTTTTCAGGAACCTTTACAGCCAGTGGAGGAAACG